AGCCCTCCACAATGTTTCATAATTTATATTAATATTTAATCGAATTTAAGTCAGGTTTGCCAAACTTAGGTTTAGTATCGGGGAAGGTATGGTTCAGTTTATATTAATATTAATATATTTGTATCATATCTTACCCCGATACTAAACCGAAGCTTCGCAAACATTTCTATGTTCAGTCACGGGATATTCAACTCTAGTTTAATTAATTTTAATTGAAGTGCAATTCTTCATTGTATTGCATTGTAATTGAGTTTAATTAAACTCCAATTAAAACGCAACCCTATATAGGAACGCGTTTTAATCGAGTTCATATCGCAACTATATTTAAAGTTAATTCAACTATATTAAAAGTTAATCCAATGGTGGCTCCACAATTCATGGGACACCTGTATGTGTGTGTGTGTATGCGGGGAAGCGTGCGAGGGGTGATTGGGTTCGGGATAGGGGGGTATGTTTATGTGAGGCACAGTAACGCTGAGTAGCCTATAGGGTAATATAATATTTTGTAATTCGTTTTGTCTAGTGTTTATTTTGACCCCCCCCCCAAATTGAAATTGTAATATACTAGTAATCTTAAAAACGCTGACCCTAAAACATGCTTTGACGCTTTCATATTAATATATTCTCTATTGGGGCGATTATTGTGTAACTAGTTTTATTGGTTATCCGTCATCTTCGAGTTAATAGTTACAAACAAATATAAAACGGTGTTTCTTGGATGTTGCCAATTTATCGAATTGTATAATATTCTGAAACGAGATTCTAATGCATGCAAAACATTTTTTTTTCGTCGATTTTGATTAATTATGTCGGTGTTAATTATGTTTCAATGGCAGCTTGTATGGCATTTTTCCCCTGTCAATTTTGTTTAGATATATTGCTACTTTCAGTTACCATGATATTAATATTATGATTCTAAACGGATTCATGCGGTTCATTTTTTAAAAATTAAGGAATCATTAATTAATAAGTTTAGTATTCTCATTAGTTGATCAGTCATATGCCGGGGGTATCCTTCGTAAAACAAATACGGTTAGTTTGCATCAACCCAATTGTGTCCACCACCTTTAAACAGCTGGGGTTCTGATACGAAACATTCCAAAAATTTGCACAGCACAGTGTCACTCATGTTGGATTATGTCTATTGTTGGCAACGTGTGTGCATTTGCCACGCAGCAACTGTTTATTTAATGTTAGTTAAGAACTAGTATAAACTGTGGGTTGCGTTTGTGTTCATAATATGCATATTTATATAGGTGAATGTTATATGGCTTTGTCTACCTGGGATTTGATAATTTTGTTATTTCTGTTCTTTTTTTCATTTTATCATGGTTAGTTTAGTAACCACCTGAACTGTTTGCATGGTGTGGCTAAAGTCATGGGGGGTAACGATATTGCAAAAAAAGCATTATCTGAGAATCTTCTATGATATGAGAATCAGTCAGTTCAGGGCCAAACTGTACACCCTGAATGTTTTTTTTTTCTCTTGCACGGAACAAATTATATCATGTAACTATTGTGAATGTATGTTAATTACTTTCACGATCGGGTATGGTAAAGCGGTTAAGAATTTTTATGTTAAATTCGTTTACTAATAAATTATTTGAGACAATGGTAATAAGTGAATGACATTTTTAGAGGGCAATATTTAATTTTTTTTACTAGTTCACTAAGTTATTAGGTTACCTGTGTTTAAAAAAAAACACTTTCGTACGGAGACATCTGTTATATTATCTCACAGATGTAACTTGTTTTTTTTTCTTATTTTAATATTGAACATTAATACTGACATACTTATTTCTTTCAGAAGCGCAAAAATAAAATTTGTTCCAATGGTCCATGCAACATGCGTTTGGATTGCTTGTCCATGAGCTTAGATGAATATATCAATAATAATTGTGTTGGTCGTTCATCGTCTGAGAATAAAGTAATCCTGATATGAAGAAATTCACGGGGTGTGGGTATATTAACCAATAAAAACCTTACTGATAATATAATTAAATTTCATTTTGAAAAAAAAAAAATCGACATGGTGTTAGGTGAATATTTGAAAAACATGAACGCGTCGACATTTGTGGATTATCCAACCAAACTATTAAGTTATATAATAATGCATCATAAAAAATCGTAGCTAATAAAATAGTGCACACGTGTATTTTTTATATGACACTGAAACTGTATAAATATTGTTTTGTGACAATTTATGAATACCCCAATACGTCATCAAATATAATTGAAGTACATTTGTTTTTTAAATTTCAGACACATTTCAGCTAAAACACAATGCTAAATGCAACGAATTTGAATACAATATTCGTTATATTATTGTGAAGTTTCTGTTTGAAAAATTGTTGCTATTGCTAGATACTACACCCGTATTGCGAACAACGTAATATTAGCATCCATTTGATACTCAGATTTGTTTGTAATATTTTTTGATGATGATCTATCTTGCAAGAGAAATTGATTTGTTTTACTGAATGTTGAATACATAGTTTATGAAATAAATATAACAATGTGTTTGATACGTCTGTCTGTCTATATTTCCTGCAATACGCTTTTCTTTCTTTTCTGTATCTTTTTTTTAATTTTGATCAATTTTATTATTATCATGCAAGTTCATTGTACGTTACGTACGTTTATGTATATTAACAAAAAGTCACATGACTTCAAAGCTAAGGTCCAATTTAATTAATACATAACAAAATATCATCCAATATTCTGACAAATATAATATACTAAGACAAATGAACATCTGTGAACAACTATTATATTGGTAACAATCTATGCACATGATTATTTAATTAATTGATTTTCAAATCGGTTGACAACAGTATTATTTTTGGTAAAATGGGTATAATATTGTATAGCGAAATCAATCATAGTTTATCTACAAAATAGTAGGTTATGCCGTCAATGCGATACATTTAAT